AGGTCATTTTCAGCTGAATGTATCGGAGGTCATGTCACTTTCAGGTCAGAAAAGGACAAATTTTGAAAATGAAATTTTTCAACCATACAGTTGCCTATCAGATGCAGTTTAAGCTCAGAAACACGATAGTCCTATTTATATTGCTGTGCGATATCAAAAACGTACTGAAAAATGGTTTTGAAAAATATGTAATTGTAAAATTTTGACAATAATGCAAATAACCTGACTATTTTGAAGATATTGAGCTAAAACTTGCTAGAGTAATTCATCAGTGTGTGTGTTCTATCTCATATATTCCGGTTTTGCGAAAAATCAAATACTTTTTGAGAAGAAAATCAAAAAAATATATTTTTGTGATGATAAAAACATATTTCTTTTTTTCAAGAAAATTCGAGATAGCAGTTTGATAGATACGTGTATTTGTAGTTCACTCATGCAAAGAAATTTGATTTAGCTTTTAAACGGAGCTCTTGAGAGCGTTTGCCGTGATTCAATATTTTGCATCAAAATCGGCTGACATGACGTCACTCTGACGTCATTTTAGGCCAAACTATGGTAGCTAGAAAGTTGACATTTTAACACAATGTGTCAAAATGATGTTGCTGAAGGTATTGCAAGTTTCGTGTTGATCAGTCAAACGATTTGGAAGATATTGCCGAAAAACGGGAGGGGAGCTCTGTAGACTCGGGAGTCTCAAATATCCCGCGCCCGGCTGGGGGTCCTGGATTTCCACGCCCTGCTGGGGGGGGGGGGGTGTTTGAACACCCCCCCTTCTAACTCGGCTCCTGGGCCACGTAGCGACACGCGGAAGGCGGCGTTCGAAAGAGCGTCAAAAATAATGAGGAAATCACTTCGGTCAATTTTTTGATCAGGTCAAAGGTCAGGTCACCAGAGGTCATTGAAGGCAAAATTTCGCCGATTTCCAGGTCGAATGTCGACAATTTCCAAGAAGCCAACGCATAACTCGGGAACCAATAGAGCTACAGCGCCGCGGAAAAGCGCATTCGATAGCCCTATTAACGCCCTTTCTGAGTAATTCTCTCAGATTTGACCTAACTTCAACGATTTTGCCTGCAGGGGGCAAAAACTGCAAAAATAGCCGATTTTTTCGGAAACAGTTTTTCTGCAATAACTTTTGACCCAAGCCTTGTACGAGCTTACTTTTACCGGCATCGTGTTCCTCTCGTCAAGACGCATCGAATGAACTATAACTTGACCTTGAAAGGTCAACTTGAAAATTTGACCTCAGGTCAAGGTCATGACCTGACCGGAAAGGGTCATGTTGCATATCAGTCGATCCGTATCGTCGAGGTGAACACATCTAAGGCGTTTTCATCGCTCTAGCATGCCTCTATCAAAAGTTATTTGCGAAAAACTGTTAGATACCATTCGTGACCTAAGATGACCTCAGGGCATAAACAGGGGTCACGGACACCATTTTCATGTTCAGTGTGTCTAAACCACTTGTAATTCAGTGTTTGGGAGTGTTTATAATGTCTTTCGTCCAAAGGAGGCGCATTTCAATTTTCTCCCATTGACTTATAATGGGGAGGTCGCAAAATTGACCTGACCTTAGGTCATCGATATCAAAATTCCGAGATATACATTTTGTACATGCTATTGCTCTTAGCAATCGCTGAAAGTTTCAAAGCGATCGGTCACTCGGTGTAGCTATGACAGACATTGAAACGTTTTATGAGGTGAGGTCACTTCAAATGACCTGGTGACCTGACCTTGAATGACCTTGGTCTGAAATTTTCACAACATGTGTAGAATTGATGTATGATAAGGTGTACCAAAAACGGCGGCGCTGCGCGCCGCCGTTTTTGAGATATTCGCGAAAAACCACAAGGGGGGGTGTTCAAACACCCCCCCCCAGCAGGGCGCGGGATATAGAGCGCTGGAGCGACTCGAGCCCGGGCTCTTACTACCGGGAGTCCAGCGCTCTACCAACTGAGCTACGGAACAGGCAATGCAAGGATTGAAAGTTTTTTTTCAATACTTGCCGTGGAAGTCGGAAGGATATGGGGACTAGCGTTAAGGCACCTAAATGTATCTAAAAATGATAAATTCAGCATATAAAGTCGCGTCCTTTAGAGTGCGCTTCAACCGATGATAAGTAGGTAGGTAGGCATGGACCCTGTATCAGATGAAGAAAGTCGGATTCCATTTCACCCGAACTTTGCTGGATGCCATTTTCCTTTGGATTCATTTGAAACTTAGTCAACTATACGCATGTTGCATTGTTGATAGCTAAAAACTTCCCTTAACTCTCGCCGGCACAGGGGGGGGGGGGGGGGGGGTGATGCAACCCCCTATGGGTTTTCGCAAATAACTCACGTAAAAAGCGGCTGATCGCGACGAAACTTTCAGTACTTTGGCATTTATCAAATTCACACCTACCCTTACCATTTCATGACCCTGACCCAAATGACTTTTGACCTGTGACCTACTTTCCGAGACCATGTTTGGCCAGAATCGCGATTCGACGTATGTCGGCTCAAATTACCCGCGCGTTTGCAATTTTTTCGTGGTTTCAAACGTTCAAACATGTGATTTGATGTTGCTCCCATGCATTTGGGTGGATGTCAAGGTTACCTGAAAGTCAGGTCAGGTCATTGACCTTTCGTGACCTCTATCCACTTTTCGTGTTTAACATCTACTAGGCTAGTTTTTGGAGCTGAATTTGAATTTAGCAGTCATTAGAACATTTACGAAGTAGTTTTGGTGCCTTCGTAACATGTTTAAAAGCTCTCAGAGGCGGTTGACACGTACTACAAATACCCTTCACGATCCCTACTGGTTGACCTGACCTGACCTGACCCGACCTGGTCTAAATGCTTTCTCGGATTTTCAATTTTTTTCAAAGTTTAGAAAATAGTGAAATATGTATATTTAAATTCAAAATTTATATTTGTATCTTCCTTTCAAATAGGTTTAGACTTTTCGAGAAAAAAAAAACGGAATATATGTGATAGAACACATGCTTATGACTTAGTTCACGATTATACATTTTTCAAATAAATTTTCCGGTACGTATTTGACGTTGTACAGTGTACACCAATAAAAATAGCACCATCGTGTTCCTAAGCTCAAACTGCATCCGATAATACCTTTTTTGGAAACATTTTAACTTTTTAAATTGGACCTTTTCTGATCTGAAAGTGGCCTGACCCAAGCTATATTCAACTCAAAATGACGTCGAATGACATAACCGGCGTCGAATTCGAAATGTATGGCCTATATTGATCATAAAAACATGTGTCACGTTACCGATGCATAGTCGCATTCATTGTCACCAACCTGAAATAGGGAGTAGGGACTGATGCAGGGCAATGGACAATTTGGGCAATGGACAATGCACTATGGGCGATGAGCATACCACCAGTCAGCCTGCGCTATTGCTGACCCATTTATAGGGTTGGAAGCATTTAAAATGGATGACCCGGTGACCCACCCATGCTGTCGGTGGTTGACAATGGAGCGAAAGCTCAAATAGTTATACAACGCGCGCTACGCTTAAAGTATTTAGCATACCCTGGTCGAGGGAATGCATATTTAAAATCCCTGCATTCTTGCATTCAGTGGACAGTCTATGAATTCCTGCAATTGGACTATACACCACCGAAAAACACGTTTGGTGAAGTCGTGTAGCTTTTCCTGCAAAGCAGCCGAAAAGCGAAAAACCACAGCACGGGTAGCTAGCGTATCATTATAGCTGGAGGTGCGCCGGACTTTCTGGCAGTAAATGCGGCACCACATTTTGTCGTCAGGTGTACTTACCTATATGACTGCGCATGGCAAAACGTGTACCAAATCGTACCAAAATGTGCGTACTACGCCGACCCCGCAACGGGTGGTCGGCAATTTCCAGGCCAGAAGCCGCTGTGGCATGGGCGGTAGGTCGGTATTTAGCCTCCGGGAGCGGCAGTGATGACACCTGCGGGGGTCCTGCCGAAAACACTGTTTGGCCGTAATCTTCTAACCGACAAATTAGTCCATTAGCCAAAAGTCTAGCAAGCCGGACTGGGAAACAACTGCAAGCATTTACATTTTATTGCTGTTTCTGCTAACTGGCAAGAAAGGTATGCTGAAGGTACGGAAAGACTTCAAAATTGCACATAACCATGAGCCAGCCATAAGGTATTAAACATAATGCCGTTTAGTCTCTAGTCGGTTTCTTTACGTGTATCTTACGAGTTGTTAGAATTTATTACATGAGATGGGTGCAGGTAGCCATAATGCTGCATCAGCTCCTTTTGGTTAATAGCTACCTAGTGCCTACCTATATGTTCCTCTTATAGCCTATGCCTAAGTAAAAGCGCAGCTATGCCTAAAAGCTGAGGTTCACTGGCTAGATCGGTGACAAAGCCTTGTCAGTTTCTTCTATAAACATAGGTACTTAGGGAGGTAAGTACCTACTTTCATAGCATCATCATTCAGGGATATTTTGTTGGTTTTACATGTCCGAACTCCCATCATCAAAAACGTTCCGCGTGAGAGAAAAATCGATGACCTAGACTCAGGCAGATAAATGAACACATCATCGATGCGTCATCGATATAAGATAAGTCTCAGAGTGGTATGTTACCACAGATCAAATAACACATCGATAGCAGTAAGCAGACGCAGTGCACCGGTAAGGTGATGACGCATAGTCGAGTGGTTAGTGACGTCATGAGAACCTCTGATATGACGTCATCATCACGTCATCATCGGACCCACATGAATAATTGTAAAGATAAAATGTGTGGTCCTGCCAAGTTGTTATATTGGTGCTCTATGTGTCATTGATACATTCGCATTAGCAACTTCCATTTTTCCTTTATGATTGCGTCATGAGCATGATAGCTACCTATCACAATTGGTCCTCTGACGCATCAGTCCGCAGGGCGTGCCTATCGGTCCTCAGAGCGTAGGCCGCCACCCGCGCAGCATTGCCTCGAAGCTCCGATAAGGCGATCTGTCGTACCTACCTGGTCCGATAGCGGTCCCGGCGCCGCCGATAGCGGCCGCCCGGCCCGGCGGTCAGGGGGCCGTCGCCGCACCCCAGTTCACCTGCGACACCCGTAGTGATCCCTCATAGAGCGCGAGCCGACCGGTACCAGAGTGCAGAGATCTCTAGCGCTGAGGAAGGAACGTCCATACCGCCACCATGCCGTCTGTCTATCTGGGAAACTTGACGCGCCTGCCAGCCTTCATGAAGCTTGGAGAGATCGTGAGTGGATAATGACGAATCTTTTAGCTTGCTTGTCTTTAAAAAAAGGTATGAGTCATGAATGTATCACGTATGGAACGAAAATGCTTAGAAATAAGATGATCGTTATTTCGTTTCAGATCATCTTCCTGATAGTGATTATAATGGTGGAGGTTGGCAAGGTGTTGGCTCCTTACCATGCCGGAGCCCTCCTTTACGGCATTGTCATCGGCTACATGATCGTGTACCTGATTCTGATCATCTGCTATCTGATTGGAGAGACCACCACGCAGCACACCACGTTTGTGAGTATTGCGCTCCACAGATCCAGGCTGACTAGCAAATTAAACTATAGTTGGGATCGGCTGGGTGGGCAAATAGTCAAAAGCACTAGGCATGACTCCTCCGCACGCATTTCGGCTTAGATAAGAACGAGAAAATATTTGCTGGAATATTCTAAATGTCTACCTTTCACTACCTACCTTGAATAGTTTGTGTGGCCTATATCTGATGAAATGGTACCAATGTTTGATGCTGTTAAGTATACAAGCCAGCAAGTCATTGAACCTCATAGGACCAAATTAATTTGCAATCGGTTGTCCCTTATGCGTGTTCTAGAGAAAATCCTCTACAGATTTTATAACACCACCCGTCTTTTTACAGGAGCTGCTACTGAACGGAATTGGCAGCATCCTCTTCCTATCTCTCAGCATCAAGCTCATCGCTTACGGAGCCGACCTGCGCGGTTCTTGGTCAACTCAGACCATCGTGGTGGGCGTCTTCCTTCTGATGGTGGTGCCGTGTCAGTTAGTGGACGCTGTGTTCAATTTCAAATCGAGGAGCACTTAATTCGGCGAGTCACGAGCTGTGGATCATACATCGATTCCGGCAGTGATAACTGCGCAGAAAAAAAGAAACAGGGTAGCCGTCAGATGGCAGATAGGCCTAACACAAATGCAACCACCATAGCTCATCGGCTCATTATGTCATGTTGAGAAAATGTCTGTCGGAAAAAATAAAAGGTATCGAACAAACATGTGTTGCTTTTTTTACTTTCGTTATATCCAAGTGATTCAGGAATAGGAAACTTGTGGTGTTTAAATGGATGAAGGCAAGTAAGACTGGAGCCTTGTACATACAAACACAATGTATTGCGAAGGTTCAAGGGTGGAGGTCTATGCACATGTCAACTTTTGGGGCTGCGCGTGTACCTTACTGTTAGAAGTGCAACCAACTGCCGAATTGCTCAACCAAAACTATAGGCCGCCCTCATAAACCCCACTCCATGGCTACGCAATACACATATGTTAGTGCAGGCAGTGCACCTTGTCCCATAGGAAGGCGCCACCCCTCAGGCACCTTAGGTAGCTTCCTCCCATCAGTTATCGTTTCTCCCTTCAGGTAAGACCAATCCCCCGGGTAAATCCCGCACTTGGTAACCACTATTCCTTCCAGAGGACACAGAGGCTACCCCCCCCCCCCCCCAACGTCGCCCCCCCCCCACACCTGCACGTCCGGCCCCACCCAATGACCTGACCCATATCAGTCATACTCCCGGCCATATCAGCTGTATTCCCGTACCGTACCGCGGGCCGATATCCGTTCCGTTCCGTTCCGTTCCGGATTAGTGCGATAGCGTTCGGCGGAATGGGCCTGCACTGCGAGCTGAGTGGCTGATAGTGAGGTGGTAGTGGTATCAGCTGACTGTACCTACGGACGTGTGAACTCGCCCCCCCCCCCCCCGGGGTCCCACCTCGCACCTATTATAGCACTATAGCATTTTCCCTCCGAAATGTTCATGTGTATACTATTTCAATTTCAGTGGTTTCAAGATATATGTAGATTAACTTTGGATCCCGATACCAAACCATATGGCAACTAAAACAAAGCAAAAATTCCGAAAACGAAATACATCTGTAGAAATGTTAGAAATGCCATTTTTTACCAGATTAAGAGCATCTCATATCTTAGTGATCTTTCATAATACCACCAAAATACCAAAATACACTAGGCTCGAATTCCCAAACACCAGGTTGCTGTCGGTCTGGTATTATCGGTATACCAGAACGTTGGTTTCCGGTCGGAATCCCTAATTTCGATTATTGTTGTGCCTACAGATATACATAAAGAGCGCATTGATTATACTCGTGCCACTGTCGCCCTTCAGCACGAACAATGCCTATCAACCCATAGTCTCTACATTTCGACATAAAAAAGCGGCATCCTGTGACCCAATCGATGCTATGATTGACTCACTCTGGTTTTGGCTAGTTTGCTGTGAGTTAGCCATAAGCTAACTCGCAATGACGTATGGCATACCCATACTTATTATAATAGGGTCTGTAGATGCATGAATGCTGATAGAAGTATGTACGTACCAACATGGAGAAACTTGGTCTACAAGTTTTAAGAATACAATCGATATACACACTACAGTACGTAAAATATTATCTATAATATTTTATCTTAAAGGTAGTGTGCCAGCTTTCCTGGACCGTATGGAGTTAATGGCCCAGATAAGGAGAACCGGATTTTTAGAACTTATCCATACCTTCAAAACTCATAGAAACGTCTTAAATTCTTCAAATTTTGAGTACCCCATGGCGAAATTCGCCCCGACGGGTTGTCGGTCGTACCCCAACCACATTTCACACCACTATGAACAATAAATGCACACACTGAAATCGCTATTACCGATAGGCTCATCCAATCAAGTTTCGATAAACCCGTTCATCATCATCTCCTGCGGTTTCGAACACGCCTGTTAGGTGGTGCGGTAGACCGCGCCCAAAGCCAGGGCCCCGGTAACGTGAGGTAATCGAGTCGGGGCAGCGTGCGCTGACCCAAGCCGGGGCCGCGCGTCCTCCCGGTGTCATGTGATAGCCCGGGGCTGCCCGCGGGGATGCGGTAGACCGCGCCCAAAGCTGCGGCCCCTGCTTGGGTCAGCGCACGCTGCCCCGACTCGGCTACCTCACGTTACCGGGGCCCTGGCTTTGGGCGCGGCTTCTGCTCATACTTTGTGGTGCGGTGGTGGTGCGTCGGGCCGCGCGCTCTGACTTCGGCCAAGAAAAATGCGTCAGCTGATCATTGTCATTTCTGCCACTTTCATGTGGTGAGATGGGGTCATAACTTTAGAGACGGCTGTTTCATATCAATTATTTTACATAAAATAATATTTCAAACCATAAATTAATGCTTGACAGCCAAATTAAAGAAACAATACCAATACAGGCTTACAGTTTAAATTCGACATTGTGTTGTCTACGATTAGACAGCTGATAACTCATTCCCGTACGTCGTAACTCTATAATGACCTTTGCTTATTGTCACGTGTGCGTCGCATTCGTGATTGTTGCCGACGCCTGTTTGCAGGTCAGCCCACTACACAGTTGTTATACATATCGAAAAACCGATAAACTTTTAGGCGAAAAAAGCACTATTTTAGGCCCATTTTTTATTTTTTGCGATATTAGGTAAAAAAAGAAGCTTCTCATCCTAGGAAAAATAAAATGGGAAATCATTCGAAGGTGGCACACTACCTTTAATATTTTATCTATAATTAATTAATAATTAATTAATATCTATAATATTTTATTTTATAATATTATATTATCGATAATATTTTACTACAGTAAGTAAAATATTATCCCTCGCCGGCACAGGCCATTTTGAGTCCTTCGACGGCACAAGGGGGGGGGGGGGTTGGTACGACCCCCCCCTCGCGTTTGGCCCCTGATCGAGCTAGAGCTTCGCGGAAAAAACGAGCGTGTTGCCCGTCACGAGACGAAGCCGATGCTACCCAATTTTAAGGTTCTAGGTCATCGGGTGACCTTCCAGGTCAGGTCAATGACCCGAAAACCGGGAAAATCGGGACCTGTTAGAAAGTCGTAAAGTGTGGCTGCTATGTGGTTTTCCGGGGTGCTGATCACGAATATCGTGTTAGTTTTGATCAGAGAGGATGTCTTTAAGCATTTAGACCAAGTCGGGTCAGGTCAGGTCAGGTCAACCGGTAGGGGTTGTGACGGTTATTCGTAATACGTGTCAACCGCCTCGGACAGCATCGTAACATGTTACGAAGGCACCAAAACTACTTCGTTAATGTTCAAATTGTTGCTAAATTCGAATTCAGCTCCAAAAACTAGCCTAGAAACATGTACAGCTCGAAAAAGTGAACCGAGGTCACCCGAGGTCACCAAAGGTCAATGACCTGACCTGACCTTCAGGTGACCTTGACACCCACCCTAATGCATGGGAGCAACATCAAATCACATGTTTGAATGTTTGAAACCACGAAAAGCTTGCAAACGCGCGGCAAATGCGAACCGACATGCGCCGAACCGCGATTTCGGCCAAACATGGTCACAGAAAAGAGGTCACAGGTCAAAGGTCATTAGGGTCAGGGTCATGAAATTTTCAGGGTAGGTGTAAAATTGATCAATGCGAGGGTACTGAAAGTTTCGTCGCGATCGGTCGCTTTTTACGCGAGTAATTCGCGAAAAACCTTAGGGGGGGTTGCATCAACCCCCCCCCCCCCTGTGCCGGCGAGGGTTATCTTTATGCATGTCATGCCGGTCCCAGGATGTGTTTTCTTACCGGCGAGAAGTTTGTTAAGTTCTTACGTATTGGTCTTTTTACATTTACATACCTCTATAGACCACGTATAACGTGGTCTTTGATGTAAGTTCTTACGTATTGGTCATTTTACATTTTAAAACGTGGTCTTTGATGTAAGGACGTGTAGCTCGGGAAGAATGCATGGCAAATATCCATTATATGGAGACCCATCTTCTGTTATATTTCGTCACAGACGAGGCAATAACAGGCAAATGCCATTTTCCGATAAGTGAAAAGCTCGTATAATAAGAAGTACATAATAAAAAGAAAGGGCTCAAAACTGCCTTTCATTATCTCTACATTTCAATGTACACCACTTCTGCTAAACATAAATTGTATCGGTATGTGGAGCCACTAAAGCAATATGACGTCTATCTACCATCATGCATTGTTATTTATCTAAGCTCAACATATTACGGCGGCCTTTGGAAAACTAGTTTCGGCAGGTGGGTGCCACATTTCTTCCTCGGAAGCGCTCCCCACTCTGCGTGCTCCGCGCTCTTTCTCTGCACGGAGGGCCACCAAGCCCCAGCCGCCGGATGGCGACGCTCGAGACACCTGGTGGCAAAACAGGGAAACAATACTGACACGATTGAACAAACGGGCGAAGGTGTGGGCCAACAACAACAGCAACAAAACATCATTGTCATTTTGCAACATTTCAATAAAAATAGCAATGCTTCGGCAGAGAGCACACGGAAACTATAAACATCAGAGGTCATCAGAGGTTGGGGTGGGTCAACAGAGGCCAGAGTGGGTCATCAGAGGTCGGAGTAGCTTATCAGAGGTCAGAGTGGCTCACCAGAGGTCAGATTAGCAGATCAGCACTCAGCAGAGGCTAGAATGCAAGTCAGCAGCCAGCAGGGGTCAAATAATGGATTAGTATAGTGAGTCCGTTAGTAAGTATAGTCGTAAGTCCATCTCGGAAAGTATCAGCAGAGCTCAGAGTGGATTCAGCAGAGGTCAGATCCGGTCAACAGAGGTCAGAGTGGGTCATCAGAGGTCACAGCAGATTCAGCACGTCTCCGTGGATCCCGCAGACCTCCGTCAGTACCCGCGCCGCTCACCAGCTGCGGGCTGCCCTCAGTGGAAGAGGCCGCCGGGGGTGCCGGTGGGAGCGCGCGGCGGCTGACCGCCCGGCTGGCCGGCTGCCGCCGACGGTCCAGAGCTCTGACTCGACTTGAAGTTGTGCACCGAGTAGCGGTTGTACTCGCCCCAGATGGACTTCATCATCTTGCTAGAGTACGACTGCAGGCCGCTCGGTTCTGGGGAGGGGAGGCAGAGAGAGGTCAGCATGAGAGCTGCGGGGTACAACAGCGAGGCCGGTGGTTACGATGCTGAGATTCCCTGATAAGCGAAACATCTCCACACAACCGACTATTGAGCGTACTCTGAGAGGTAAAAGATCCATGAACACCAGTCATGAACACCAGACAAGTCTCCCGCCCTTTCAGTGAGCCACCCACGTCCCACGAATGATTTACTTTTCTATATTCTCGCGATCACTTTTGTTTTCCCGGTCGTGGGAGGTCTGCGGCAAGGGAAAATAGAGAGCTTACCAGGGTACGTCTAGATTGAAATAGAGCATATTCATCCTCGAAATTGCCATTGCTGCATTTATTTGGCACTAATATATAAAACAGACCGGGACGGGAACACCTAAAACAGCTTTGTTCTGCTGCTCTATAATATAAAGATACTGCACCGCACGGCACCGGGGCAATGCGGTACAGTCTACCTCCCAGTTACCAGCCGCTGCAGATTGTCTGCCTATCTGTCTGTCTGTCTGCCTGTCGGGAGATGATCTGGGTCGAGAGGTAGCGTAAACAAACCACTGTTCGGCAAGGACTCCTCTTCTGGCGTTCATAGTGCGGCCGCTCGACTGTGAGAGCTTTTGACACATCACGGTGTGAAGTGATGGCTGATTATTATCAAGAAGGGAAAGCAGATTAGCCAGGTGGTGCAAGACATCTAAAAAAGACAGCAGGCGATGATCATTAGTAGGATTAAAGCTTTGGGACGCACATATTGCGGAGGTTATCGGCGTTTTGGTGAATTGCTTAGCCGCTATATAAATGTTCAGGTTCTGTTTTCTTTGTGAATTTATCATCATATCCTCTAGAAAAAGTAGCAGTGTATCGGATAAAACATACGTATTAGCCAGTAGGCGGAAGCCGCGTTCAGTATGCTTTTATAGGTATCCCTATTATTACAACAGATCATTCTCCAACCAAGATGGTTGAGTCTGTTGGGCTGGGGTTTCATGTTTCGCAGAGTCAAGTTGTGTATATTTCTGTTGGATGATGTTAGCGTCATTAGAAGTGTAATTTAACATTTTACATTTTTAGTTTAACAGTGACGTCATTTGAAGTGTAATTTCACTCCCATATAGTATTACAGTTTATTTCAACGACCCAAATGCATACCGAGGGATTGGACTTCGCACTCAGTAGTTTCAAAGTTCATTCCATAACACGGAACGTTTGTTTATATTTCATTTGTGCGTTATCATCGTACCAAATGTGCTAAATAGATTGTAGTAAAAGTACTTACGTACTATACGGAGCTCTTGAGAATACCACACCATGATAGCATTGATTCCACGAATTATTTGAAACGAGATACAATAGCTCTGTAGTTGGGCGTCATTAATTAATATTTCTACGTCATTATGGTTTTTCGACAACATGCTTGCGTGATTTGGAAGAAAAGGGTTAGTTGGTAAATACTAGATATGATTGTCGAGCTTCAAAAGAACGGCTGTCTTTTACAAAATCATTCAAAACGCATTATACGGGTAACTAAGAAAACGAATGTGTAAGGCTGCGTTTTCAAGTCCATTTCTCCTCGGCTCTAGTGCAGTTTCTGTGGGAGAAGGCCAGTTTTCTGGCCGCTCTACAACTAACCATCACCGGTTATATTGCGTCAGTTTGCAATGCATGGATTGTCGTGACGATCGCCAATTGCATGAAAAGAAGAAACCGTGATTGAAACCGCAGCTTGGGCTACCTCTGGAGTAAACATCCGAAATCGCACGACAAAGCTATAGTCTGGTTGAATGCCATTTTTTTGGGCTGGACCGAGGGGGACAAAACATCACCTACAAACAAAGTGCGCTGCTAAAATGTGATATGGTGAACTCCAGGTTTATTCCTATTTTACGATCACGATTCGGTCACTCATGAAATCGTTAAATTAAGCTCATTCAACCTTTGACATTTTCTGCAGCCAGCAAGCCCCAGCCTTGGAATTAACATTTGCCACACCCGGCAACGTCTTGCAGCTTTGCACGTGCACGGCGCGTGCTACCGAGACAGGGTCTGTCCGCGGACAGTCCCGGGTGCAAGGTTCAGGTCTGCAGCCCTGTCAGGGGTCACCTCGTGCGACAGGGCGGGGAGGGAGCGACCGGGACGGGTCCGGAATGATACTGGACGGTGGGCGCCGTCACCGGACAGATTGAGCAAGGCGTTCGGCTCCTCACTGAGACTAACAAATCGTCCGGGGCTGACCAGAGGTGGCATTAGTCCATGGGGTTTGTTTATTGATTTCAGGGATTTTAGAGTCAAACGGTTTCAACGTGTTTACAACGGTTCCAGCTCGGCAAGGCTATCACATGATTCCACCGGGTCACTTATGGTTATCGAATGGTTCCAGACGGCCCTGGGTTTGCCCCGGCTTATATAAGACTGCCGAAAATAACTCAAGATGGGCCGCGTGTCCGTGCACGTGACTGGATGTGGCCTGTGCAACTGCTCATGGTAAGCAGCTTGTCACATTCTTGCACCATAATTTGACATGTTAAGACCCATACCAGCAGGTTTTCGGTCTTCTAGTCTGTTATATTATATACGTTAGCTTTAGGCAAAAAATTGCTTTTGGTACGGCAATAAATTCTAGGCTGCTTATTTACCGTTTTATCCAAGCATGAGACGGACAAACGTCTGATTTTCCGAGAAGCAGAAGTAAAATTAAGTATGCCGCAGGTGAGACACCTAGGTACGTCCATTTATATGTATAAGATACATATTTTTCATTCATGAAGGTTTATAAATATTCATGTGGAGTTCAACAGCTGCCCGAGTTTGAGACAAAACCAGTATCCGATGCCGCTATTTGAAACATCTTACTAATCAACTTTTGCTTATTATGAAAAGGTCCCATCCAGTACATAGTTAACCTCTTACCGGCTCTTAACGGAAATACTATAAATAGCATGAACTGTCTACTGACGTCTGTGCTCGAATTTTGTATGCAGCCCAGGCATCGGTAAAATCCTTTTTGAAAGGATTGCATTCCCGATCCACATTCCTAGTGCCGAAGTGGATTGCATTCCTACCCGCAATCCCCTTTTTTCACTTGGATTGTGATCAAATCCGCAATCCTTTTTTTGCAATCCTGTTGTATTATTATGTGCACTAGTGGATCTGGGGGAGGGAGGGGGAGCATAGGGCCGTGCCTCCATCCCCAAATCACCCATTTCTAGTACCTAGTCTTGCGAGTAATTCCTATCTAAGGCACAGGTATTTTATGGGAAATATTTCTTGCCTCAAACACCCCCACATTAAAACCTCCACCCAACCAGTGTTTCATATTTTTAAAACTCGCTCTCAAATACGTAATTTTGCCCTTTCTATGTAGTTCATCAGCGTATATTATTTTGAGCGTTTAAATTAAAAGCGTTTAAATTATTTCAAGTTTCTATGTAAAGCCCTTGATAGCAAAGTACATTAAGCCGATGAAGCCGATCTCATAATTTTCAATCGCAACAAACCATTTCAAAGCACTAATCAAACACAATCTGGATTGGATTGCAAAAATTGGAAGTATGATGCAATCCAATCCGCAATCAAATCCTGTTTTTTTAATGGATTTCAAATCCAGGTGCAATCCACCAAAAAGGAATGCAATCAGGATTTTGCAATCCTGCAATCACAATCCTACCGATGCCTGATGCAGCCTGCACACTATCACAGCGGAGACCTGTTAGAACACAGCGGAAACCTGTTAGAACACCCTTCTGTTTCTGTTTTCAGGCGAGTGCTGACTATTGATCAGGTGATCGGGACACTGCACAGAGGCTTAGTGACGTCACCAAGGCTGCTGTGCATGCAGTTAGCCCGTGCCGGCTTAGTAAAAGGTCAGGATGGGGCCGATGGGGGTATAGGTGGCCACTGGCTACTGATCATCGGCGTTGACATGCATTTTAGTGAGATTGGGAGGCACAAAACGGCATCTCGTGTTAGGGTTTTCCCGATATATATCATGGTGCAAATCACCAAGTGCTTTGATGCCTATAAATTTCGCTCTCATTCGCGACTAATGAACAGCGCTACCAAACAACTTACATTAACTTCGAAGGATCCAGCCAGCTAAGCAGTAGTGACAAGAAGAGCATTTGATTGACTACGCGCTCCGATAAACACAGGCATTTGTCGTTTAAATGAAGATTTTCCCCCGCTCACCGTCTTCTCTAGACTAAAGTCCTACACACGTCCCGGTCCTCCCCTCTCCGCCCCCTCATACACTCACTCTGAGTCTGCCAGCTGGCCGGCTGCTTGCCAGAGGCGCTGCCGGAGGTGTTGCCGGCCCCGCAGCCGCCATCCTTCCGCATGTTCTCACGAACCTTTCCGACGGCGTGCATACTGTATGGGACCGACATGGCGCGACCTGGAAACAAAAAAACATAGATATGGTTCAACACACTGTATGGGACAGACATGGTGCGACCTGGAATGGTTATGATTAATCATACTGTACGGGACCGACATGGCGCGACCTGAAAACAGAAACATGGATCAACTGTGAGGGAAGGATGGCTCATTGCGGTTCATCACGGAAAGAACGGGACGACCATGCATGGCCGTCGCGTCGTGCCATGGTACGACATGGAACATACATAATTTGATTGACCTGAAACGGACGAATGGCTTATGCTGACGGACATCACACGACATGAAACGGTTGTACGTTTCATCATGCTGCGCGGGACAGACAGCAACCTGAAACGGACAAAGATATGGTTCATGCCGCACGGTGGAGATATAAATCGACCTGAAATGAACACGCATTTCGCCTTCGTCATACCGGCTACCACATGTAACGCATTGTGAGACCAGGGCCTCGTTTCATAAAGCGAGTCCGTAACTTACATCGGTTGTTAGTCTTGCATTTCAAGCGCATGTGAAGCGATGACGATAGTTTGAATCGTTGAATTTATTTATTTGTAAGCAAGAACAGAAGGGAGAGGGGGGAAACAACTTTATCACTTCACATGCACTTGCAATACAAGACCAAAAACCGGCGTAAGTTACGGACTCGCTTTATGAAACGAGGCCCAGACATGACCTGCAAGAGGAAAAGTTTACGCTATGATCAAGAGTGTTACTGTTGTGACCATCATGGCAACCCCGGACTGCCCGGCAGACGTCAGTTATGGGGCGGGGGGGGGGGGGGGGCGGGAGCTGAGAGCAGGGACAGGTAGAACGGCCCGGTTCGATTCCCGGTGACCACTCGATTACAGCGCTCGATACAAATGCCAGTCACCCGCAAACTCATGACAGCCCTTGACACGCGGGGACAACTCACTATAAATCAACAATTCAATAGAGTCGCCTGCTGAATTTATACGGGCTGACACGTCGTGAGATGATGTTTTTCGTACTCCAGCGTAGAAGGGTAGCCATACGGCCGCCACGGTTGACAGTGATGACATCAGTCATCTTTTGCAAGCTCGTTAAAGATTTGGGCTATACGTCCCAGCGGATAAAAACAACACCTAAGGGCTGACACGTCACAAATCACGGCCTATCACAAGTCACAACATCATCGCAAGCCGCAAGGTCACACATGTAACCAGTCCCTCCCCCCTCCCACACACACATACCCCCACAACTCATGAGTCATGAGTCACTGACTCTCCCGTACTCACCACAGCGAGGGCAGTGGATTCGCGTAGTTCGGCGGTTCGACACGCTGAGGGGAATCTCCGCGCTGCTGATGGCGCCTCTTCTGCTGTAGCTAATCTCTGCTGAATGCCTCGGCCACACCGCAGAGCGAAGGAGCGACTCAGCGGTAGAGCTAATGGTGACTTCTGTGGTCGACAGGCCGACCTTCGTCCGGCCTCCCACGAGAACAAACTCAGACGTGACGGACTTGGCCAGTCTCGGCGACCGAATGAAGTGTCCTCACAGCAGCTCCGCAGGGCGGACTCTTCGAGGAATTGCTGGGCGGAGTTGGATCGCGGTGCAGCGCTCAGCGGCACGGTAGTGATTGATCACCCTTGCGGCGGCCAAGAGACCGTGCTGCGGCAGGGGCGGCGGGTCCAACGCGAGACAGAGGCTCGGGACGCAATGGAAGACCCGTGTGAGCCGCCGTCCGTACGGCAGAGACACCTAGCGGCGGGTGTGGGATCTACCTGTGCCGGGCTGTAAGAAACAAGGCCCGACTGACCCAAACCGCTCGGACCCAGCCACTCAGTGGGGGAAGGGAGGGGAGGGGGAGACTAGGGGCGGGGCAAGGCACCGCGGGGAGGGGCGGGGTGCGTGAGCGCGTTGCGTCAGCCGCGTGGAACGGTCCCGCTGGCAGAATTGGCCGGATCACTGACGATGATCGGACTTTGATGGGAGCCAGGACCGCGGACAGCAGAGGTCAGGTGACCCCAGCCGTTGCTCAGAGCAGGAATCACGCACCGATCACGTGGTGGGCGGCCCAGATGAATGAATGCATGACAAAGGAACAGCCGGCGCAGTAGCAATGGAAAGTTTCGCTCACAACAGACAGACGAGACAGTAAGAGGTCTGGAGACGTGGGTCAGCAAATCGGCCGATATGCTCTCGCGGCTCGCCTGAGTTTATGCAGATTGCAGGATATTGAAATTTGGCAAGTCACAAGGAGTTTGAGCATTTACCTCCAACCCACTACATGACAAACACGTCACACAAATACACGGAAAACGGCCTTTCAGACTTCTATATGCTTCTATAGCGGGATGGGCTCCTACGTGCCATGGGGCCGACAGTGTAAGGCCTGAGGCCCGGCCGAGACAGAGAAGTCTCGCCCATCCGAGGTTCATGGCTCGTCACGGTGGGGCGGCTGACGCAACCCTTCCAGCAGACACGCAGAAGGGGCACCTGACGCAACCGGACCCCGCGACCCGACCCCAGTCCCCACCCCTCCCTGGCCGTCCCAGGGGTGTTCACGGGCACCGCACACTGCTGCGTGCGCTGTGTGCGGTGCGTCCAGCAGGCGTGGGGGTAGGGGATGGGTAGGCGGTTCTGACGTCACGGCTGCGTGCGGTGGACGGTCCGCTGTGGCCAGTCCCGACCGGCCACAGCGATCGCTGTGTGCGGTGACGGAAGGCTGACGTAGGGACGAAGTGGGCGGAGCTTGGAGGCTGTGTGCGGTCCGACCGCACACAGGGCCCGTGAACAGCCCCCCGGGAAGGGGGAGGCGCAGTTCAGAAACTACGTGGTGATTTCAGTGCGACTCGATTCCGTAATGCCGAGTTGCGCGTTAACCCGCGCCCCACTGGGGTCTGTGTATAACACGCCCTACTGGGGGGGGGGGCTATTCATAGCCCCCCCCTCCTAACTCCGAAACTACTGGGCCGATCGTCAAAATTCAAACGGCGTCTGATAGCCCCGGAAAAACTGTCGAGCGAAACCTAATTTCATTGACCTCGAGGTCACCGATGACGTCACAGGTCAGGTCAAAGTAAAAATTATTAGCACTTTGGCTTGTTCACATTTTGGGCTCTGGCCGCCGTCTTACAAGTCAGATCAGGCTCATTTTTGGTTTCCACACTCGTGAACAGATGCTCTAGATACCTTGTGGGTACCAAACTTGTACTTTGATTTTCAGGTCAGGGTCAGGTCATCACAGGTCACGAAAATATTATATCATGCGTCGGTCACGTGACACATGTTTTATGGTCCATTTAGGCCATAGATTTCGAATTTGATGTCGTCTGTGTCATTCAAGGTCATTTTGAGTCGAAATTAGCTTAGGTCAGGTCACTTTCAGGTCAAAAAAGGTCAAATTTTGAAGTTGAAATTTTTCAACAAAAAAGGTGTCTATTGGATGCAGTTTGAGCTCAGGAACACGATGGTGCCATTTATATTGGTGTACGATCCTAAATACGTACTGGAAAATTGATTTGAAAAATTAATAATTGTGAATTTTTTGCAATAATGCGTATAACTTGGCCATTTTTGAAGATATTTAGCTAAAACTTGCTAGAGTTAGTCATAATCATGCGTTCTGTCACATATATTCCGGTTTTTTCGAAAAGTCAAAAACTTTTTGAAAAAAATATAAAAATATATATTTTGAATATTATTATAGGTATCAAATTTTCGAAATTTTCAAAATTTTGAAAATCCGAGATAGCAGTTTGATAGCGCGGTCAATTCTGAGTTCTTTCATGCAAAGAAATTGGATCTAGCTTAAAAACTGAGCTCTTGGGAGCGATTGCCGTGGTTCAATGTTTTGCGTCGAAATCGGACGAACATGACGTCACTCTGACGTCATTTCCGGCCGACCTAAAGTAGCTACGAAGTTCAAATTTTGACACAAGGTGTCAAATTGATGCAGCCGAAGGTACTGAAAGTTTGGCGTCGATTCGTCAAGTGGTTTGAAAGTTATTGCAGAAAAACGGGAGGGGGGGGCTATAAATAGCCCCCCCCCCCCCCCCAGTGGGGCGCGGGTTAATGGTACAGAGAGGCTATCCATTTAATGATTTCGCTGTGCGCCGTCTAGTAAATGACAAAGTCGCCCACTAGTAAGCATCTCGATTCTAAAGATAGAGACCCGCAGAGCCAGCAGTTGAAGCTGGATCAATCGCACCCCAATTCCAAGAACACAGCAATCGCAAAAAGAATTTATAGAACCAGCGAGAGGTCTTGCTGTGTATTTCTTGTTCTGACACGATATGTTCTATCAGATTGCGATATGTTCTATCAGATCAGATAACAGTCCACTATTCCAACTGCGACTTCAACTGTTTAGGACAGGATCACCGGGAGAGACAGGTTCAGTCATATAACAGTCAGCTCGACTTCGAAAGGCACGGCGGCATCATAGTTGCAAGCGTTGCCAGTACGCCACCGTCGAATTAGACAGCGTGACAAGGTAGGACAGAAACGACAAGGTTACATCGTAATTCGGAAGATACGGCGTCATTAAGTGCGAATGTTGCCAGCGCTCCACACATCCCAAGCAGATCAGACATTAGAATACACCCTACCCTCAGGACGCTACCATAGGACACATACAGGAGAACGATCGTACCGCTGTAATATATGTGGTAAAACATTCTGTTAGAGACTGATATGAGTCATCAGAACATCGACTCTGGCCGGTTAGGAATACGCCCTCAGGACACCACCGTAGGACCCCACACAGGAGAACGGTCGTATATACCACACTGTGATCGATGCGGCATGACATCTGCAGACTCATTGGTCGTTCTATCAACTCATTTGATCAAATAAGTGCACACCGTCATATTCTGGCCGATTTCCAAAATACCAGTCCCCTGGCCAATACCATATACACACAGGCCAGAGACCGTTCAAATGTGACGTCTGTCGGCAGGAGTCAGTGTTCTCGCGATGAGCCATTCATGAACACATCGCATTCAGAATAATACGCGAAGGTTCCACGATGAAACCTGAGTGAGGCAGAACATTTGGATAGCTTGTCTAAACAAAGGGTCGCACTATGGATTCGTCATACGGCTGCTCCATTTGCCAGAAACCGTAGGTTTCATATCAGGCATGACAGGACTCGCACTGGGGAGCGATCGTATCCACATGCATACCTACAGTCATTCTGTTCTGCAACGATGCTCCTACCAAAGGACATAATCGTAAGGACAGGCAGGTAAAGCGACGGCACGGTCACATCATACTTCACGGAATGTACGGCATCATCAAGTGCGAACGTTGCCAGTACTCCACCAACGAATGAGACATTAGCAAGGAACGCTTAGGTAGGACAACTACCGTAGGACCCATACAGGAGAACGGTGTACCGCTGATGGAAAGCTCGCCTAAACAAAAGATGGCAGTAGGCATTGACCTAAACAAAAGATGGCATTGGGCATTGGCCATAGACGGCTGCTCCATCTGCCAGGCATCATTCATAGCCTATCAGGCATGACAGGACTCATACAGGTTAGCGATCGCGCATAGGTATACGGGCGACCGCACAGGTATACGGGCGACCGCACATGTGTACGGGCGGCCGCACAGGTATACAGTGATTCTGTCCTCCAGCGGTACAGGATAGGACAATATCGTCGGGACAAACAGTTTAAAAACGACACTGTCTGATCGATTCCGAAAGGTACGGCAAACTCAAGTGCGAACGTTGCCATTACTCCATCGACGAATCAGACATTACGCCCTCAGGACAACGCCGTAAGATTCGGGAGAACGGCCGTACCGCACTGTGATATATGCGACAAAGCGTAGCTGTAAACATGACTGACTCGACTGACCAAAGCATTGCCTACACGAGTCTTCTGACCGGTGCCACATTACGCCAATCATTTGGCCTATACCGTATACACACAGGCTAGAGACCGTGCGCATGAGACATCTGTTGGAAGACTATGGTGATCCCGCAGTGAAAAGGCTTTGCGGAACACCCAGACGCATTCACAATGTAAGGAAGGTCTCACAAGGTCTCACAATGTAAGGAACGAAAGAGTACATTTGGACTGTTTGTCTAAATATAGGATGGCAATAGTGATTCGCCGTACAGCTGCTCCATTAAGCTCGACACCGTTCAATATTCCAATCAGGCATCACAGGACAGGGGACCCTCACAGGGAAATGACCGCACAGACATTATGCTTGCTCACTACGGTTTACATGGTAGGACAAGGATGATGTAACCTGCCAGTCACACACGATTACCGACACAGGAGTGATCGGTGTGTATAACCCACGGGACATCAGGGCAGTAGTACGCATGAAACTGCGAAAATTTACAGGAAAACGTACAACAGGCAGGAAGCGCATGTACAGAAGGAAGCACGCCACCGCGTTCCAACTACAAATGCATGGTAAGGATGCCAAAAAGTAATCGACAAATCAACCGACAAAAACAAGACAGTTCCATAAATTTATTTCATGATCCAACTCAAAATGAAGGCTGCCTTTTTGGGTTTCAGTCCCTAACGCCCCGGAATGTTAACCTGAAAGATAAGACATCTGTTAAAACATCTCTCAACAAAAGCTGTTCACCAGCAGACACAGCGGAACACGAAACACAACAGCGCGTTCTCTTTGTACAAGTTTATTACAAAAACGCCCGTTCCCAGCCACCTGTCGAGCGCACCAGGCACTTTAAGTTCACCACACTCCCCCATATGTCTCTCGGTGTTCACTCTCGCTTTTTGCCGGCGTCGGCCCGTTTTTCGGCGATGACGGCGTCATACTTTGACTTTGACGAGTACCAGAGGGCGAACGGGATGCCGAGGGAGGGCAGAGTCATCACGGCAAACACCAGCCAGTCCAGCTGCGGGCGGGGGAGACAGATATACGTCAGTGATGTGATGGGACGGGGCGCGCAATGCACATCGGTGATGTGAGAGAGAGAGAGAGAGAGAGAGAGAGAGAGAGAGAGAGAGAGAGAGAGAGAGAGAGAGAGAGAGAGAGAGAGAGAGAGAGAGAGAGAGAGAGAGAGAGAGAGAGAGAGAGAGAGAGAGAGAGAGAGAGAGAGAGAGAGAGAGAGAGAGAGAGAGAGAGAGAGAGAGAGAGAGAGAGAGATACAAAGGCAGTGCACGTTCCGTCATTGATGTGGGAAGGCATAACCAAAATCGGAAGTGAAATAGAGGGAGCAGACATGCGCAAGTGCCTCCTATCAAACTAAACTGAAAGAGCATCTACTATTATCAAAATTAATTATCACCGACTATCCAAACTTTCACTGTAACTATTGTTACATTTTCCACAACATATTCTGCTGCTGTATGCTGTTACAGATAAATCTGACACATAGTATCACAAAAGTTCGTTAACGCCCCAGTAGCTCACCAGGTGAGAGGAAAACTTCTTGTTGTAGTCGCGGAAGGCGACGATGCCGCCCTCTCCTGGCTCACTGGTGAAGCCGACCGTGGGCTGAGAGAAGGGCGGGAGGGCGTTAGCTGTTTATCGACGCCAGAGAAAAAGGTAGTGGTTTTACTAAGGTCAGGGGTGGACAGAACGCCCAGCAGGCATTTGGAAAACAAACCCATCTGATCTTTTTTAATTAAGGCATTTACAAATTGACATAATGCATACTTCTGGCCACGATGTGCATAATTTACACAACAGCATATCACTTTTTACCTAACAAGAAAAGCTACCCGTCAAATACGTTCATTTATATGTGTATTCATTATTCAACCACAGATCTCTACAAGAATAGGAGCACAGCATCATACAATTACATCACCATCCCCTGAGTGCGTCATCCCCTACCCATCAACCGCCCTGTCCCCTCGCTACCCCCCCTTTCACCACCCTGTCCCTCCCTCGGCTCCTCTCTTCCTCACCTCAGAGGCGGTCTCGCTGTCCAGATACGACACGGTGGCCGCCGTGAAGTTATAGTAGCCGTACTTCAGCGGTCTCACCACCAGTGTGTGGCTGGCGTTAGCGCCCGGTGCCAGCCGGTCCAGAGTGAAGTCCGCCTTCCCGGCGACAATGTCGAAGTCGCCCGCACCAAAGCCGGCCTCCTGAACCCGCACGTTGAGTGCCGCTGCCGAGCCGACGTTGAAGAGGGAGTAGCGCACCACGACGTCCTGGCCTTCCACGAGGTACTTGTTCTGGATCTGCGGGAGGGGAGGGGGCGTCATCACGATGTTCTGAACTTCTGACCCTCTATCAGGTACTTATTTTGGATCTGTGGGGGAGAGTTCAGTGGATGATGTGGTATTGGTTATTGATGGGTGTGGCATATGCATTAAGGGAAAACTTTTGTAAATTATCTATCCAATAGTCCTCCAGAGACTTAATGGATAAGGTTTGTCAACTAGCTTGGAAACATTGAGTGCAAGGTTACATAGCATAATAAATGTTTTTTTTTTAATGAGCTTTAACTGCATGACCATATTTTGGCAGCTAACCTGCAGATATGGCTACATTGGACTAAAAAGTGTACGACTGTGTCAATTATCGCCATGCTCTTTCAAAATAGGTACAATTCAAAAATGTTTGTGAACCTTCCAGAGGAGGAATTAAGTGTTGGGTATTAAGCGTCATTTTAAATAAGCCCTGCTATGTGTTAAGGGAGTCAAAAATGCCAACAAATCCATATGAAATGTCTAGAAAAAAGGTTCAAGCCAGTGAGCCCCTTTCTGAATAATTAACACAATTAATAATTAGGTACAGGGGCATTTTTGCTGCATCCTTAAATGGCTGCTTGCTCTCAAAGTTTGCAAATACAGTTAGGAAACTGTTGGAAAAGCCTGTTAGGATACTGTCGTGCGGCATCCTTTACATATATCCTTTTGTCTTCGCGTCCTTTGTCCTACCTCAACAGCCACATTCGTGCGGACCGACTTACTGGATCAATACCAGAGTCGGGTCAAGCCGGCGCCAGCCCGCCTCACAAAAAGGATCGCGTGCTCCAAAACAACTTCTATCCAACCAATAGCGTTGCAGCCCTTGTTCTCTCGTCCAATCGTTGCTTTCCGCGTAGCGGCCACCGCCCAAAGAAGAATCGGCCAACGCCCAAGTGTCCGTCGTATATAAACTTGTGTTCGCTTGGTTCAATACATTCTGTTCCCGAACTCCACGTCTTTATGTCGGGTAAGTCTGAGTTTACTCCCTCACTTTAACCCCCGACATTTTGGTAGCAGCGGTGTGTCTATTCTTTGCTGTTATTTGATAACGTAATTTTACGCCGCTTGCCCTCATATTAATTCAATATTTAGTCTTGCAATATTTAATTCTTCGACTATATCGTGTTGAGTGTTACTATTTTTCTGCGTTGTTTCAAGTCGACACATATTTCTATTACTTGGTGAAAATGGTGCCTCCCACATCTCAAGCGCTCCCTTCGTCCATCAATATTCACCAAATTGCTTCGTTCATTGCGCCTTACGATGGGTCATATCCGATCCAAGATTTTTTCGAAGAGATTAGAGAAGCCAAAGTTTTGGGAGCTTGGCCAGATGTTGTCGCACTAAAAGTAGCGAAATCTAAGTTGCAAGGCAATGTCGCAGATATGGTGCGAAATCGGTACGAGTTGAATCATGCACCTTCGTTTGAAGAATTCTCCCAATTATTGACGGCGGCGCTTCATACTGAACGCCCAGTATCGGCGCGACTCCAGGAGCTGATGACATGCTCTCAGCATCCGTCGGAGTCCGTCGATGCATTTTCATCAAAAATTCGAAACTTAGCCAAACAACTACCTGAGTGGGACCTTGACGAAAACTCAAAAACACTGAAAAACCAAACAGCTACGGCAGCTTTCATTAAAGGGTTGAAACCCAGCATTCGGCAGCACGTACTGCCACAAAATCCTACCACGTTTGAGAAAGCAATTTCTTTGGCCAGAACAATGGAAGCAAATGCTTCTTTCTTTCCCACCGAGTCAGCCCTACCGGCCACCTGCTCGGTGGAATCACCAGCCCCTCAGGGCAACCCTGATATTCATGCCCTACAAAGCCGAGTGGCAAGTTTAGAGTTGGCGGCTGCGATTCCGGCCCCGCCTGCTCAAAGAGGTCGCGGCGGCCGAGGCCGTCCTTACTCGAACAGGGGCCGTTCTTTCAATTCACGCGGACGAGGCTATTCTGCTCCGGCTCCTCGTCCGCACAACTACCCGTACCGTGGCAGCTCACACTGTCACGGCTGTCACTGCGGAGATCGCCGGTGGCGACACAGATCCCCGTCCCCGTACGACTCTCGGCGCAGGTACTCCCGATCTGTGTCGAGAGATCGTCATCGATCGGACAGGTCAATGTCGCGCTCCCCCTCCCCAGCTCGCCGTGAAAATCGATACCGGTCGAGCCCCTCCCCAAACGGCCGGCGCTCGCAACGTCACTAAAGGGAGAACAGGCGTTTGCGAGCGTTGCCGAAAAATCCGATAGTGTCCAACAACGAACTTTCGAACCACCCATTATTTCAGACATTTCGATATCTCAAAATCAATGTTCTGCTTTGTACGATACAGGCTCCAGTATCTGTTTGGTAAATCGAGAGTTTCTTTCCGATTGTCAGTTCACAGTGTCCCCAAAACCACCGTCTATTTCGATTCTTGGTGTGACTGGCTCGCCCATTGACATTCTCGGAGAAGTTACTTTACCGATCACGATTCTCGGTAGACAAATCGAACATACATTTTTCGTCACAGAGAAAAAGCTTTCATTTGGAGTTGATCTGATTTTAGGTATTGATTTTATCATCAAGCATCAGCTTATGTACAGTCCATTTACTTCACAAGTGACATTTTTACAACCATCAGCTCCAGTTTCAATCATACGAAAGACGCAAAGTCGTCTGTCGCCAAAACGCCGAAAACGAGTCCGATTTCTACTTGGCACAACGGATTCTCCCCTTGACTCTGATTCAGGCAACCCTTTGACTACCAACAAAGAAAGTGAAGCTTTCATTATCGATGAGGAGAAACATTTTTCTTTATTTATGCATGAGAACGTCGAAATACCTGGTCTCTCTGAGATGTTTGTCAAAATGAATTTGCCCCGTAATATGCTTCCATCAGAAGCACCGTATTACGTGCAAGGTCATATCGATCAGTCTCTCCAGGGCATTTATGTTGCTCGTATGGTCGTGTTCCTTACTACAGCTCATGTCTTCGTTCGTGTGGCAAACGTCACACCTTCACCTATTTTACTCAGGAAAAACCTGCGTATCGCTCAGGTGAACCCGTCGGCTGCATCACAGCCAAACGACTTGACTTCTGAGACAAAAACCTTCCAAAACCAACCTACTGTAGCATCTGTTGAGGCTGAAGATAGTCGGAAAATCACGCCAGATGATTTTGATTTAGCCCACATACCGGAACCATACAGAACCGAACTACGAGATTTGCTCATGAAGCACTCGTCTGCTTTTGGCACATCATTAGCGGATATCAAAGGCACAAATGTGTACCAACATGACATTGAATTGGAGGATACAACACCCGCGTACAAAAATCCATATCGTCTTCCGTTTGCACATCGTGATATCGTGAAGTCAGAAGTTGACAAATTGCTCGCTAGTGGTATTGTGGAACCAGCAGTTTCCCCGTACAACGCTCCTATTCTTTTAGTGAAAAAGTCATCAGGAGGTTATCGCCTCGTGTCTGATTTACGTCTTCTCAACCAGAAAATCAAAGATGACAAGTTTCCAAATTCTTTTGCATCTGATGCAATTGATAGGTTAGCAGGCTGTACTATTTTTTCAACTTTGGACTTGCTGAGCTCATTTCATCAAATTCCACTCGCTCCATCGTCAAGACCGTACACTGCTTTTACAGCAGACAACGTGCATTTACAATATCGAATGGTACCCTTCGGCATGAAAAACAGTAGCGCAGCTTTAAATCGTGCATTGACAATCGCCTTGTCTGGATTACATGGTACCGATGCTTTCCTTTATGTTGACGATATACTCATTGCCAGTCGTACATATTCCGAACATTTAGAAAAGTTAGACCGTGTCCTCACACGTCTGATAAAAACGAACTTTGTTCTCCGACCTTCAAAATGCTCTTTCATGCAACGGGAAATTAAGTACCTTGGTCACATCATCGATGAGCACGGAGTACGTCCTGATCCGTTCAAGGTTCAGGCCGTCCAGGACTTTCCACGTCCTACCACAGTGAAAGAAATTCGTCAATTTTTAGGCTTCATTAATTTTTACCGCCGCAGCATTGACCGCATGTCAGAGTTGGCTGCTCCTCTAGTGAACCTCACTAGGAAAAACGTAGATTTCGTTTGGACCGATGACTGTCAAAAGAGCTTTGACAAGATTAAATCGTCATTGTTAAATTATCCCGTCTTACGATTTCCAGATTTTACCAAAGATTTTTTCCTGTCAACTGATGCCAGTGATTTTGCCATCTCTGCTGTTTTGGAACAACAGCACGGCAAGGACCTCTTACCAATCGCTTTTATCAGTCGACAGCTCAACAAAGCTGAAAGAAATTATTCAACAACGGAAAAAGAATGTTTAGCAATCTATTGGGCATTTGAGCATCTTCGGTGCTATCTTCTGGGTCACCGTACTCACGTTTTGACTGATCATCAACCGCTTCGTGGTGTGTTCAAGGCTACCAACCCAGGTGGCCGACTCACCAGATGGTCTCTCAAATTGTCCGAATATGATTTTGATGTAACTTACGTTCCTGGTCGTCTCAATGTGAAAGCCGATGTTTTGTCTCGTATCAAAATTGATTCACAGTCAAAAGATGATTTTCTTGGTTACGTTTCGGCTACCGCAATGGATCACGAAGGGTGGACACGACAGAAAATCAAAGATGAGCAAAGAAAAGATTCTAACCTGATTCCTATCATTGACCGACTTAGTGGAAAGAAGACAGACACAAAAGATTTACAGTTACATGAAGAACTTTCGAATTACTTTCTCAGTTCTGATGGTGTTTTGTATCACGTCGCTTCTCAAAACAAAAAGACGAGACCATTCCTCGATCAGATTGTCGTACCAGAACCAATGAAGCTGGAAATTATTCGAAAATACCATGATACAATTTGGTCTGGTCATCTCAGGTTCGAGAAAACGTTGGAGAAAATACGATTGATTTTCTTTTGGAAACACATGCACACGGATGTCAAACGTTATGTTGATGCGTGTCGCCCTT